ATTATTTATTTAATATATTATTATTTTAAATATTATTACATGTTTTCAAAAATTAAACCACCAAACGCAGTTTTAGTTTTTTTTTAAACTAAAATAAATCTCTGAATAAAACTACCAAACGCATTTCAGAAATAATTTCAAAATGAAAATGAAAACGTTTTCATTTCTATTTTCATACAAAAAATAAAAACATTTTAGAACTAATTCCAAACGCACCCATAGTTTTGCACTTTTTCCGTTTTCCAATAGAAGTATTATATAAAGATATAAGTGAATTTTTTATTGAATCTGGACGTAATTAAATTTTTTTATAATTAAGTGGGCATATATAACTATAATTTTTCTTGACACAATTAACATTTCTATGCATATGAATCAAGATTTTAAAATCTAGAGCAGTGCTATTTGACATATACACATCAAGAAAGAGATGCCGTAGAACTATCTTGAATGACAAGGTTTCAAAATTTTATTAACTTAATAAAAATACAAGTATAATGTTATCTCTAGTGCTAGAATCACGATATATGCACCTTTACAAAAAAAAAAAAAAAAAAAGAAGAGCTGGTTGCAAGATCGATATTGTTTCTCTTTCTATATATTAGATCATATTTGTCATTCGTATGACTAGAATGAAGTAGACCGTAGACATGAAAATTCTTTTCAAAACGTTCTAAATATATCTTAAAACTTCCATTAAAAATATATTTTCTCCATGTAGTAAATGTTTTCCAAATCAACAAATTGTTGTTTTGATTTCAACATATAATATATGATACACAATAGTACTACTAATAAAATTTTTGTTGCCCCATTTTAATATAATATTGATAAATAAATTAATTAGAGTCAATGCCAAAGAATTTCTCCTTGAAGAATCACTAGAAACTCCTGAGCAAAGTAACTACTTGCGAAATTAATCCAAAATCAAATTACCTGCAGATGGCTCTTAATTTGATCGGTAGTGAGGCCCTTAACACACATAACTTCCCTGATCTGCTTTGGAGTAGCCGCTGCCAAGTAACAGGAGATAATTATTATTTTCTAAAATAAAATAAATAAATCATAAAAAAAAAAAAAGCCAAAGGGCCAAAGTATCCATGCAAAACACGGTTCTCTTCATTAGTGAATTATTAGTGTGCCACATACGTACATATATTTACATAAACTTACGTATAGAAGAAAGTGGTATATATATTTCCCAAATATTGGAAACTTTAAACATATAGTTAAAAACATTAACATTCCTTGGTGAATTATTAATATACCATATACATAAATATACGTGTACATATATATACACACACAAACGTAGAATGATGTAATACATGCACGTATGAGTGTGGTAAATTGACGTGAGTTTTTTTTTCCGATGTAAATTGATGTGTGAGATAACTTTATTACCTTTCGGACCTCCAAGGATACTCAAAGCCAACTTGAACTTTGCATGAAGCTCATCTGTCCAATGTCTCCTTGTACTAATCTTCCAAGTGGGATCTGAAAACGGATCTTGCTGACGAATCTCTAGGGCGCAGGATTGATTGGCCTTCAACCTCGTACCGAAACTATTCGATTCAATCCTTGGAATCTTCTGAGATTCCGGTGATAAATTCGCCGTCTCTTTGTGATCAGTCCTATTTTCCTAATTTAATTTAAAGAGGGTATTAGTTTTAGTAATTTTGATTTAAGCTATAAAAGGAAAATATAAATGGTTATTTTTATTTTTATTTTTGGTGGATATTACAAAACCTGATAAGCACTCCAAGGAGGAGAAATATTCATCTCCTCATTGTCGTAAATACTCCTTTTGCGTTTCAGAAACTCGTTAAAACGCCTCTGACCATCAAACTCAGATTCTTCTCCACCATTATTCTTCGTCAACTTTGTAATTTCACCCTTCATTATCTCAATGGCTTTACAATAATATCACCACGTCCCAAAAAATGAAAATAACACCTTAGTTTCACAATCACATAACAAAGATAATTGCTAAAAAAAAGGACAATTCTGTATAGTCAGTGTAAAAAAAAAAAAAAAAAAAAAAAAAAGAGAATATGAAAAAGTACTCTACTGAAAATACATAATTTTGAACAATCAGATCTTTATCAAGTACGACCGCGTAACAAGTAAAAAAAAATTTTGAAAGAAAGAGAAGAGATCGCCACCTTCCATGAGAAGCAACACGCATTGCGGAAGCTCACGTCTGAAGGGCACAACCCAAGAGAGCTCTTCCTCGTACTTCTTCAAGTAATCATTCAAAACAGACAATTTTTCTCGGATATTATCAATCTTGGCCAAGTCACTGAGAAGGTCAGAGATTGTTTTGGGGACATAAGAAGGCTTTAGACTCAAGCCAAGCTCAAGG